TCTATCTATTCATCTGTCACAAAGATTATATTCATTTCGATAATGCAATCTGACGACCTTTCAATGTGGAAATAATGATAATTTTCACTGGTCCATAGATAGTCCTTTATAGACAGATTTCGATAGCTTTCGGTAATTTCCGTATTTTGTGCTGAATAGATTTTTAAAAAATAATGCTGCAAAAACAAAGTAACTATGACGACATTTATCGTTACAGTTGTTACATTTAAAAGCAATAGTGCTATGTTTAGTAATAGTACGTGATTTATATGATTAACTGCAGTTTATTTGTGCGGTGCATTTCAATATTTTGACCAGTTTGCAATCATGCAAAACAACAAAACACCGTCAGCAGACACAAAATGGCAATAAAAACATATAAAGCATACATTATGTATCATTTTTCGTGACCAGGGTTGACGAGCTGGATTCTATCCTGATATAGTCCAAAGTCTACGTTAAATGGCTGTCTCAGTTAAATAATCTGAAATCGATACAGTACTTTACACATCACCTAACCACATTACTCTGACAACGTTTTTACCACCTCAAACACTTCTCAAAAGAAAGAGTATGAAAGTTTAGCAGCAGATCAATTCTGGTACATTTCCCTTGTCAAGTCACAGAAAAAAAAGGGAATATATCAAGGAGATGTTAAGGTTCACACTCATTATGTAGATATATGTAGTTCATGAACAATAAGCCTTATGGTAAACATTTCTTACCCATTTTTGTTGTAGGGACATCAAGTGATGGGTTCTTCTCGACTGGGGCCTTTGTGTTTGCTTCCTGTTTACAATATTTGAAGCGTGTAAATGTTGCTAAATATTAATTTATTTATTAAAGGAAATATGAAAATAATATCAACATATTTACATTATTGAAATGTGAATATACTGACCTGCTTTCTAAACGAGTAAAATGTATATGCTAGATGTCGGATGAGAATGGTGGTGTAAGAACCACAACTCTTGCCGAAGCACCATGCGGTCTTAATTTGAGGTGGAGACCGAAGTTCCCGGGGACCTACTTCGATGACCTACCTGTTCACATGCGATTGGGCTGGGAAAGGCAAATGCATTGCTTGAACCACTTGCATAAGACAAACCGGAATATGTATGTTAAATGATGCATATATTAATTACAAATTGTACAGAGTCGCCAACTCGCCTGATATTTTATTACATTTCAAAATACTTGTTTGGATCTAATGTATTAAAAGTAATGCTCAAACATAACTCAGAACATATCTGATCCTTTAGCCGTAGCCAGTCACGTCGTCCAAGCTATTGTTCGCCACTGCTACCTGAATTATATCTTCATTCTCAGTCTATTACATAACCTTGTCATTGATGTATATCCCATGGAAATCCTTCGTAAAAATTATATAACATATTCTCCGAACTGAAAATATCTCAAACAAACAAACATTTGTTGTCGATTCACTATTTTAAATAGGTACCTCATCTTTTTTTTTTAATATAAATACGTTTGACCTTACCGCCAGGAAGCGATGTTTTAACGTGATTTCGGAACTAGAACGTTATTTTCCTCCAAATTATGTTTTTGAATTAAAAATAATTTATTCCAATGATTTCGGAATTAGAACGTTATTTTCCCCAAACTGTGTTTTTGAATTAAAAATAATTTATCCAAATATATATATTTTTTATTTCTTACGGATTAAATCAAGTGATAGAGATGAAATATACAAAAAAGAAACAATAAACAATCAAAATTGAATTCATGCTTAGAGAGTTTATATTTCATATTTTGGTACAATTTCTAAAACGAATTGAAAATTTATTGTAGAATTTGCAAGAAAATACTGAATATACGTACTTACCTTGACTAATGCTTTGCAGCATATCTCCTCCACTGAGCAAAGGGCTATAATATAGACTATCACTCGGTGTGTCGCTTTCATCTTCACCTCGCTGTAAAGTGTACTGGAAACACATGGAAATCAAATGTTTAACAGCGAGGCCTAGATTTAATATATAAAGGAGATTGGCAGATATAGCACAAAAAAATCTTTAAGTATCTGTTGATAAAAAGCATAACCTCCTGTATATAAGACCTTTTCATATGTATTTCGCATCACGAATTTAACATAGTGTTATGTTATATACCTTCTGTCGTCTCGCTTTCTCCGTGTATATAGGCATGTCAGTTAAGTGGTGTGGTTCACGTTCACGTTTTTTTTTCAGGGAAAAGGTTATATATTCACCAATTTGTTCTAATTCACACAAAAGTGTAGTAAACGGTATCGGGATTGTCAAAGGGAAGCAACTCTATTATTCCTGACGCAGTTTTGATAAACCTGAGGCAAAAATTCGTGATGTGATCAGAGGAGAATGCAGAAATTTCCGAACCGAGGGAGGGAGAGGAGCTGGGCGGCAACCATGTTTTCATTCCTGTCATTTTTTAAAAAAAGGTTTTCCTTTATGAAGTGGCAAGTGATGATGGTCTTGCTCTACTGGAAATCGAACCTGGGTCTCTGGCATGATACCGAATCAACGGCTTTACAAAGTGGACCACAAAATCATGTTCTATCAGCTGAATGACAAAATGTATACGAGCTACATCCCTTCCTTTTACACGTGTGATATAGTATGGTCATAATTATGCGGGGGATTATGAGGAGGGTTGGATATAGAAAGATGGGCGAGGTGGGGAGCCCCGAAAAACTGTAGATATATGTTCTGTAAAAAGCGCCATTACAAAATTTTCTGCTTGTAACTTTATATTCACATACTAAAAGTTTGTCATTTTCATGGAATTTATATTCTTCATTTGGTGTTCTTTATAATTCACATGATTGATTGAAATAACATTGTAAGTAATGTTTTTTCAGCCGTTTTTACTGCTTGTTCGAGACCCAGAATGGGATAGAGAATTTTCACTATTCCTTCCTATTACAAGGATATCAGGTCTAGAGTGAATTTCTCCAGATTTAGATCAATGAATTTATCGTGAATTAAACAAATCAACCCGTATTTTAAGCAAGTTGGCAACATTTAGAAACCGTGTTGTTGGTTCGATCCCTAACAAAAATCGGTCGAGATGCAATTAATTCAGCTTCTAGTGGTCTCCTGCTATGGCATTGTGTGGGTTTTATTTGTTTGTTTGTTTTGCACTGTTAAACCATTTTACTGACATGTAATTATTTTCATATTATCATCAATGCCTTACGCAAAATCTTGTGTCATGTCTGCATCCCTTGCAAACATTGATTTTGTTTTTCTGTGTTTTTTCGAGGTACTTATGATAATTCTGTGTCTGGAACATTTCGATATATACATATATATTGCCTTTGTTGTATTGCTTACACTGAATGGTTGATTGTAAATAATGGAGTCCTTAAGTGCACAAAAACATTTGCCGCGGCATTGGTAGTGTATACTTTTCTGACGAGAGATAATGGACTTCATAAATAACCCCCTTTTATAATTTGAAACGGTTAAAGAACTTACTACTGTACAAATGAAATCTTGTACTAGTATCAAAACAGAAGAGTTGTGGCTCTGTGCAGACAGGGAATTGCCAATAGTTTTAAATAGGTAATTACCTTTCATGAAACGTGTTGATCGACAACTCTACAAGTTCAGTGTGATATATGAGGCGGATATGACGTAAATTTGACGTAATGATTGACGTTAGCTATTATTTCCCGCCAAAATATCAACCACACGTATCATTCAGTTTCATTATCTTAAAATAAAAATACCGATGTTTCCAGAATTATAACGAAATTAACAACATGGTCATCGATTTATCTTTTTTACAGTCTATATTCCAGGTGTTCTTGACGGATACGCTTGGACCTTGATGCTTGTTTAAAAGATATGGTGACTGTTATCCAACTTCAATGCCTGCAATTTAAGCGCAACTTCATGTCAATGTCAAAAATGTACCTAGTTTAAAACGATACCGTCGAAAAATGGAGGGAAAGGAGCCAGTTTGGGCGAAAAGTGGACTTTTTAAAATGTCAATCCAAATTTCGCCGATTGAATACAACATTATCTCAAATACATAAGGCCTCCTTCGTTTAAAACGGTTGGAGAACTGAGAGGTAGAGTGCGTAAACAAAATTTACCCGAAGTCCGCTGAGAGCCAATGACAGTAAACTCAGAATTTCTCGTTAGTCTATGACTCTAGCTAAATACCCTCATCCCCGGCAGAAGAGACGTATATATAACCACAGACTTATGTCCATGATACGATATATGTAATGAAATAAGCTGCTACTCGCTGGACTGCATCGTCTGATCCATCATTGTTAAGTTACAGAAGACCAAGAGCGGTAACATAAAAAAAACATGTAAATCAACCCGAATAATATTGGTAGAAAGTTCGTAAAACTAGGAAATACTATGCAATGCAATTGCAACAAACGCCCAATTACACTGGTAAAATTTTACGGATTCGTTTTTTATGAATCGCGTTTTAAATGAAATAACAATAAATAACAATGAAGAACACATGACATCTGATTTTTAAGATTGTTAGTCAACAATTTGGCATTAATCGGAGATATGAGATATAGAATTATACGTTAGTGATAATCTTTCGTGAAAAAATGTAGAAATTGTTTTCATATTTATAACTATCTGCAAGTCGGTCTAAATAATATGTACGCTATTACAATGTCACCAGATATAATTCGAGCAATTAAAAAATCCTACAAAATACGCATACTTATTTGACCTAATTTGCAATACACAAGCCCTCTCACGCCTTCTGTAATACACATTAAAGACTAGGTCAAGACAACATGTAGTCCGTACTTCGAAAAAATATTAGATTTATGTGATGATCTCCTTGAATTTTGTTTAAGACAATCTCATTCTGTTATTAATTTTCTTATTGAAAAGACTGGTCAATAGCATTGTTACAATGCATTCTTACTTGAAACGTCGATATTACTGTCGCGTATGAATATATCAAGTCTTCCGCACTATTTTATCTGAACTCTTCAGTAATGGTAGACGAAGATGGGCTGAAACTGCACCAGCAACAGGCATATGTATGTTGGCGGTGCTTGTGGACTTAAATTCGTTACACACGGAGTTTTAAAAGTGGATTCAATGTAGGGACAACACTAACTTATCTACTCCGGCCATGAAAATGCCGTGGAGAGATCGAATTGGTGCGATATTTCTGTTAGGATTGCTCCATGGTAAGTGAAAATTCACTGCAGAATCCCGACTTTGTATTCACGATCAATGATCGGTTGAGAATCCGTTGTAGATGCTCCTTGCCATGTTAACGTCGTGGTGTCACTCTTTTCACGTTGAAATGGTATTTCATGTTATTGTACTGGTGTTATTGATAGTATTTTATCATGGAAATATGCTGAAAGCCGTTTGTTTACAAAATACAGTCTGATACACACGAATTTTTATCAAGAGGGAAAATTTGCATGGAAGGGCCCGTATGAAATGATCATCGTGCCAAGACCGTCTAATACACGTGCTGGTATGCTGACAGTAAAGAAGTTAGGTATAGAGCTCGTGACAGCTACTAAATAAATAAAACTTGTGTAATATTTTACCACCTATTGTTATTTATGAATGGACTGATTGTCTGCATATACGTACCGTATATATAGTGTATGCACACAGCACAATTGTACGATATTGTCACTACCTAATAAAATTCAGATGAGATATTTTTTATTGTCTCTTCAGGAAATTGGCAGAATTGCATTTTTTTTTATATAATAAGGCTTGGTTTAACATTAATATTTTAGTTTTATAACTGGGGTACCAAAGACAATGTTAGACCCAGTAGCTCAGTATGAATTTATCTCATATTTTGTAAACGTTTATGATGACAAGGTTGAATTTGGAGACATGTAGCATGATCTCAATGATGGATTTTTTAAAAAGTAAATGTTAATTTATTAAATCAAATACAAAGAGAGTTTTGTGAATTAATCATAGGACTCCATTGAAAATGTTTTTTTGCAAGTTTTGGATTGATAGGTAAAAAGTAGACTCATTTTGAGTGACACCTAGAGTCTAAGTAATCCATCATAGTTTATAGAACACTTGATAATGACATACAGGTGTGCTGTGCTTTGAAACAATGATTGATAGATTAACCAAGTTATAATCAGTGTTCATGGATTGAAATTGAATATATATTCATGTGTTAAAAAGTGATCTAATTTTTTTTTTTTTTTTTCGTATATTCATTTCTATTTTTTTATGTCTGTGAAAGTAATTAAAGTAAAAATGTTTCTTACATATGCCGAGGCAATTGTTAAATTTTCATCAAATGCGTGATAGTGAATAATGAATATTATCCACAAGTATTAAACTAATGTATATTTTCAATTTCTTGTATAATGCATGTACACCTGGATATCCATGATAGTTTGCAGAAATTTTAATGATTACCTGTTTGTATGTTAAAAAACAAATTTAGACAGATTTCAATTGTAACCACCTTTTTTATTTTAACATTGAAATATTTTGAACTTAAGATCATATCAGATACAGTGTTACTACGGTATTAGACTACATCTGCATATCAATTGGGACATCCATAAAATATTCTCTATTTGGCATTAACCAGCCCATCCTTGGAGAACTGTGGTCAGTAGGTAGGAAAAAACTGTTGTTTAACTGGAGGGGAAAATATTCCATGTTGTGAAGTCAGCGCTCTGTTTCGCCCAGCTTACAACTCAAAGTCAATCACTTATTTTAGGTTTTTTAAATATTTCATATAACATTGGCATAATCGAAATAGAAAACACTGATATGCAAGATCTCCGAGGGAAGACCTAAGATTCTAGAAACGATGTTCACAATAATAAAATGTTGGATTCAATCATACAACATGAAATTACTCAGTGAGTTGAGTCAAGAGTATTATCTCTAAAGGTGAGTACTTGAAAACTGGTGATGTAAGTGTGGAATTTCACCAATTTTGGGTGTTTTTTTTTTATTTTCATTCAGGGCTAATGGGGGAACATTGCTTATGGGGGTCATCATTAGTGCTTATATTTAATCGGTCACTCACTTAGTATATTACATAGAGGACCATGATAGTGTCAATGTCTGTATATCAGAGCTCCATACAAATCTACAGATTTAACTGTATGCATGTTATTTTGCCTACATTTACCCTAAACAGCATGGAAAATAGCACTCTTCCTTTTTTATTTTTGACATTTTACTATATTTTTCACCATGATAAATATATGAAAACCGAGCTAAGCTTGGTCTGCTGCATTGAATAATTGATTTAGAAAAGCTTTCATCATATTAAATTGGTCATTTTATTCATTATGATCTGGTGTTATGAAGGTAATAATGAGTTGTTTTTCCTGTTATCTGAAAATTTATTAAACCAGTATCACATCATAATTTGGCTCTATATCTTTAGTGGCAGAAACATAGTAGGCTATCATTAAGCCCGATAGGTGAGTTAAGCGATTGTGACTTTAGCAGTAAATTGTAGAAATCAAATTCCTAAATCCTGAATTTTTCGAAAATCCCTTGTCAAAGGCACTGTCATTGAAATGGTCGTCCTTGTTTCATTTTTTTTTGATACAGCAAATGACAACTTAATTGTAATCATCTTTCAAATCCAATGCCCAGCAAAAACTTTCAAAAGTGCTTGTCTGTGGGACTAAAGTGGCCAAGTTAAAACGTATTAGACTGCATGAGGTATTCATAAGTCCAGAAAAATTACTTAGTAGGCTATCTTTTAGGACAAATCGTGATATATTTTCCGAAGAACTAATAGAAATCATAATGATAACATAAAAATATATTTGCTTAGATCATTTTTGTTACTGTCTCATGGCAAATGCCTTAAGTTTTTCTTCGGTTGACCGGTAAAAACAAACACAATTTCTACTGAGCCATTTCCATTCAGATAACCTCAGACTCCAGCCTTATACTTACTGATAACTTGTAATTACTCAAACTTTACCACACAAGCATGTATCATAATCATGGTCAACAAAACACTTGTTTCGTTGTATCCAGTTTTCATTCTAGGAGGCACAAACTTACCAGATTAGGTTCTGAAATTTCACGTTTTTGCACGTCTCTCAAAAGGAATATGTAATGGCCAATGGTTAGATAGACAGTTCTATTTTATAAGTACATGGACTTACATGAAAAAATCTACTCGCCTGACAGACTACTTAACAATAGAAGTCACTCCTTCATTGGCAAAATCCACTTGTGAGGACAAGCAGACCATTGCTTTTGCCAGGTCCTGCAATTCAAATTTATACCAAAAGATTTAAGATTTTCATCTCAGTTTCTAGAGAAGAATGATATTGTCTATGTATTGCTTGCAGATTCGCTGCGTGAATTTTTTAAGTTATATCAGTGTTTTGAAACATTTACTCTCTTTCCCTTTGTTAGGTAAATTTAAAGAGGTACAGACGTTGTTGAAAAGACCATCATTTTAAACTGATATTACACTTGCAAAGTATTTGCATATTGTGATGTGTAGAGGATTTTGAAAATGATGGATGACTTTTAAAGTGCAAGATATTATTTTCTTTTATGGTGGAGAGATGGTTATATGACTTTCTGGATTGGATAACAGTTGCATAGGAAGGGTGTATGTAGTTATGATGCACACCTGTATGATGAAAATAACTTTTTATTCTACATCTACTTGTCAAGAAGCAATACATCATAATCAATCAGTTGGAAATAGAAAGGCACATCAGGTGAAAATTGACAAAGCTTTTTGAAACATTTTTTTTTTCTAGATAGATACTTAGTTGAAGGTGTGTGCACTGTATGATTATGAAAGTAATTTTTTTGTGATAGTTAGAAATAATAGGATATATAGTATGAAATGGTCATATTTTTTTAAGCAACAAGTCCATACCTGGTAATAAGCCCAAGCGTATGTATCGATCACTGTTTTTAAAGTATTCATGCACTGACACAAAAGCACACATCCAGACTTTGAGTTGGAAGTAATGTGTTGGCCTCCTGGGCTTAGAGTTCGGTAAATATGGTAGTATGTTTTACAGGATTGCAGCTGTGACCATGAAATCGGTACCTGAGATACACTTGATCTGACTGTCATAGATATCTCTGATGACATTGTATTTCAATGTTAATTTGATCAATTACATACAACACATTCTAATGTATTCAAGATGTGCATGATGGAACAGGTTTAAGACTAAGGATACCTTAGTAGCTGCATTTTCCCATTGCCTGTTCTTTCAATTGAATTTTTTCATAAATATTAAAATTTAAAATGTCATTAATTAGATTCTAGAGAATGGACTGAGCTGTCTGGAGGGACTTTTATGTCCTCCCTACCTAAAACATATTTATTACATCACTAACACTATTATGACGTCATAAATAAATCACATTATGATGATGTTACTCATTTCTAAAGTTAAGAATAAACCACCTGTGTAAAAATATGTTTTTTGCATATTTTTCAGAAATACAACTTTATAACATTATATGACTGGTAGAATCTTACACTCATGCTAATGTAATTTGGAAATGATCAAACTTGTTAGATTCGTCACTCGCCTGAAGGTTTGGGTATATCTAATTACTGAACTTCTGTAATAAATTCACATTGACAGTCATATATGATTAGATTTAGACAATTTGGTTTGACCAGAATCAAGTTTGTACATCTGCAGTATAAATATACACGATGTTTTACATTTAGAATCACTGAACTAAGTACATTTCAGGAGTCAAGCGTTCATTATCACCAAACTTAAATTTTAAAATGGAGTATCAGTGTTGAAATATTAATGAAAACAGTTTTATGCCCTCTGATGTAAAACCTGAGGTAATCATAATCAGTAATGCCCTTTAATTTGGCATGTAGATAATTTAATGTATGGTGATATTTGTTTTTCAAACCAGGACATATCTTGAAGAGTTTTGTTAAGGACTTTGAAGGGATTTCTAGTTTCCTGAAGATGCGAAGTGATACAGTGATAGCCTCTTGCTGGGTCCTACATATGAGGTCCTCGAGACATGCTAAAAATGATAAAGCTTCTCTATATTATCACATTGGGATGTTCATACAAGAAGATAAGTCACTGACCTTGACTGGAGGGCTTATAATTAACTTGTTTCATGCAAAAAAAAAAAAAAATGAATTGGCCAACAGGGAAAAAATCACTGGCCTTGACTATTGGCTAAATCAATTTACCCAAGGATACAGCAGTTACAGAAAAAATATTTAACAAAAATTAATTATAAGTGCTAATATACAGTATCAAAACTATTTGGACTTCTTTGTTGTATTTTATGTACATTCATGTGTATGTAATACTCTGATGGCTTGAAAATTTCTAAATGTATCAGACTTCCAAACTATGTACTAGCTATGTTTTTTTAATCCAAATGTTTTTTATCAGAGAAGATGATCAGAAAATCTGTGACTTTGAGCCACAGCAATAAATATGTGATCTAAATGTGTTTATCCATGCAAATAAAATAGCTGTATAAGGTGACTTGGGGTCTGACTGTGTGGAACATCGTGGAAATGAAAATGTAGTATTTCAATATCACACCTGAACTAGGCTGATCTTAACACCCCACTACACACTTGTAACCACCCAAACGTCACTGCCAAGGCCTGTCACTGTTGTCTAGACTAGGGAGTAGACTCTGCTCTGCTAAAGATCTTCAGCTTTAGTTAAACATGCATGATCCAAAAATATATTAAAATCAGAAGTGTCTGCCATATATAAATACCAGATTTCCAACTTGGCTCAGCCAGTTTCTGTTAATAGTTTGTTTACCATTGGCATTTGACTTCATTTCCAGTTAAAGATATTTCGTATTCAATCTAAAATCCCATAAAATGTTACTCCTGTAAATATATTTCCTAAGTCACCAATATTTGTCTAACATATAGATAAAGGATTATCTTAAATCAATGAAAAAACAATGAAAACAATTAAAATATCATATATACAAAAATTGTTTTGTCTTATTAGAGTCTAATTTGTCTATAAATGTTGTTCAAGGGAGCAGAGAACTGTGGCCCTTATAGTCAGTCAGTGATTTTTAGTACTTGGATATTTGATTCTCCCAAAAATCGCTGACTGACCTGAAACACTGACCTTATTATACAGGTAATCTTTAAGGAGTGTTTGATTGTGCATATTTTATATATATTTATGCACAAAACAGCATGCATATTATGATCAACATGTATAATAAGGGAATAATATGCATGATAAATTTTACAATGTTTTATGAATTTGTGAAAATGTTATTTTGAACTAAGATCCCTAGAACACAAGTCAGTAGCTTTCAAACTTTACGTTGATACAAGTTCCCATGGAGTGAACCAATAAAAAGGCATATGGCACATGTGTTGGTAGTGTCGAGGAGTTGTACCTTATGAATTATTTATCACAGGAAAATATTATCCAGTGTCACTGTGGCAATCATTTATTCACACAGGCTGTGTACATCAAAGTCTGGGCCCCATTCACTACAGCATCGATGGAATTTCCATAGGGCTCCCCTACTTCTATCTGTCATAAGGTTGTCATATATACCTCAGATGTTTCTATCTGCATATTATTGGCAGCTTAGGTTTATGGATGAGTTTAAATTCACATACACCTGATATCATTTAAAATGCAATTGATCTTTTATTCTTTTCCCAATTAAACTTTAATCACAAAAATGTTCACAGCCCACTCCATCTCTGTCAATATGAGGTTTTCAGTGCCAGTTCAGTGTCACAGGAACTGTTGATGTCCCATCCTCATATATCATGACTTATCTGATATTCAATATATCAGTTATTACTCAGTTTCCCAATTAAATGCAAATCAGTAAACGTTAATAAAGAAAATATTCTTTTATTTGTGTATAGTTAAAATTACCATATGTTGGTCTAAATTACATGTTGACAATATTTGTGAGTATTGCATATACACATGTACTGTACAGCTGCAGATATTTATGGTCTAAAACATACACTGTGTAACCGGAAGTTATTAAATTCAACATTCTCCAATTTGATTGTATATTTGTTCCTGGCATAAAAATCACATTATAAATTTTGATAATGCATATTCTTGATGGTTAAAGCATTGTCTTTTTACTGGGAAAACAAGTGGACAATTTATAATGTTTTGTTATGTTTACCAGTGTTTCTAGAAATGACTATCATGCTGTGTAATTCTAGAATCATGCGAACTGATTTTCATTTCACCTTCAGTGTTATTAAAAACCTCATTGCCTCCAAGTTCTGGCAGATTGACTCATAAGTCTTCGTTTTTTGATAACTTGATTTCCAATTTCCTGTATTTACATGTTAATCTTGAACTTATTCTAGTCCTTCACTGTGGACTTGAATTAAGGATCAATGGTGGTTGATGCTCGGGCTATGACTCAAAGAGGCTCTCTCAAAACATTTCTGATAATGAATATGGATTTATTGATGAAATCACACCATGTAAAGTACAAAGAAGCCATTTCAAACTCATTAGTACTAATCTGAGGTGAGGTGTGGGAATCTCTTTGGAGGCACAATTTGAATTTGTGTATTGGAATAATCGTTGGAGTTTTCTGATCTTGAAGGATTGATAAAGAAAAGGTCATCATGATCTGTTCACATGCACTGTCTAGGAGGCAAAAACAGTATATTGACTGACAAAAAACAATAACAGAAATTAATGGTCATTAATTATCTCAACATAACGGATGATTCAACAAGTATAGATTGGATAACATCTGGTTGTGAACGATAGGCAAACAGATAAGGAAAGAAATAAAATGACTTTCCTTTGATGTTAGGAATCAGTAAAACTATACAGCCATAAATATGGTGACCAATAATTAATAAGAGTTCGTTTTCTAAGGCAATTTACACAATGCATGCTTCAAATGTATGCTTTGTGTGCCTATAGAGCTACATATTCTTGGTAAGATAATTTTATTATTTTATCACAAAAATATTTATAAACTGATTCTCACATATTCTTATTAGTGTTGGGAATTTCATGACCAATCATCAGATCATCTAAACCAATCGATGACCCACTAATAATCGATTATTGGAAGGACATAAATTTCCATTTTTGCAATGATAAACATAACACATGAATAAAGAAGAATTTAAAAGTTATATTGTTAAGTGCTTCACACTCTTGCCTGGAAAGTCATGAAGAATCGACTCTGCCATTTTGATTAGATTTGTCCCCTATGCATTGGAAAATAATGTTCATTAAGTACTTACATGACAACGTTGACTTGTCTCATTCTACCACATGCTTGATCACTTCGTAAAGTTTGTTGAAAGGATCGAGATTTGAGACTTATTAATGCTAAAGATAGGGAAATGTGAATGTCGTTTGTTATTTCAGTTGATTAATTAGTTAATCTGCCTAATCAACCGATTCTTGACCATGTTTATTAATCAGAACATCACTAATTCTTATGAATTTCCAGCTATTGATTAAGCAGGGTATTTTTTATTGGTTTTGGATAAATCTTTTTATCTCATTTTGGGAAGAAAATTGGTAAAAGTCAAGTATGAAAATTTACAGGAGTATACTGCATATTTTTTGGAATGTGACTTGATATGAAGTAATTTCATTTGGAAATGGGGCCCATTATTGCCCCCCAAAAGACACTAAAAAGTCCTGTAAAACCTTTTGACAAATTTATTACCATCAATTCATTGTCAGATGATTACGTTATAGGTTGACTGTAACAAATATTGATAATTAATGAGGATTATAGCAAATAATTGTTGTATGTCTTTTAATGTATCATTATCATTTTATCTTTATCCAGGCCTAGTGGAAAGTGTGGAGATAGAGTTTGACAGTCCTGTGGATGGCTTCTTCTTGAAGTCTGTCTACCATAAGAATGAGCCATGGGATCCGTTGATGAAGAAAGAAAACTTTGTTATTACGCGACCAGCAGAGAACTACAACTTGAAGGCAAGCAGTGGTCCCTTCGAAGTTCACCAGGTCATACAGGACGATCTGGTTCACACATTACTTGACTCCAACACAATGGGAAAACCATCACTTGTTGATCATGACGTTGTGTTCAATTTAGACGTCAGTGCGCACATTATTTCTGACACACTTTCACCAAAATGGCCGAAACTACAAGTGTTAATACATGCTAGTCCTCCTCTAAGTTCAAAATCTCGAGGTAAAGGCAAGGTGAAATCTTCCTCTTCAAAGGCAGGATATCGTGGGACACCGCGTATGTGGTGCGGACATGTATATGCTCACCTGAACAACCAAGAGCTTTCGTCATTATGTGTTCTAAGTAACAAAGACAATGCCTGTGTGGCCAGTTTAATTATCCCAGAGAACTGGTTTCACAGCGATGATATCACAGGAGTACCGTCGATGTATGTGTCGTACACTTTCTCGCACGCTGACCAAAATCAGGAATGCGCCAGTGCCTCCAATTCCATAGTTCCTGGGCGATCATTTGAAAATTCATTGACGAACAAACGGAAATATATTATGTCATTATCTTTAGCTAACAGAGATAATGAATATGAAGTGAAAAAAGACCAACATATTCTTATACATGTGCCAAAGGAATCCTTTACACCATCGTCTGTGTTTGAAATACCAGTGAAGTTGGAAGCTAGGTCAGATCTTCAGGTTTTCGTTATGAGGTGGGTATACATGCAATTTAGGCAAATGTAGGTGAATTGGAATGAGATATCTCACTTACTTGAGATAGTGTCTTTCTCTTACCATGGACAGTAGAAATAGCGATCTAACAACAGAGTCAATGACAACTACAGAATATCACACTGAAAGAGGAGTGTTCACAACTAAGAATTTTACAGGAAAAATGAATTGTATTGTCCTTTGGGGATGAAAATAGTATCTGAAACATGTTTTACAATGCAACTGGAAAATGTCTCTCACCTTTCCCCACCCTTCATGGGTAAAAAATCTTTAAATTTCATCCAGGTAAACAGATGTAAATGTAAATTTTTAACAGATGAGATTGATAACAGAAACTCATACTTTTTTCATGATGTAGGGAAGGCATCTGGTATTAGTTACTGTGAATTTGTTCAGAGATGAGATATATACCCCCTACACAGTGTAGCCAACAGTTTAGAAAGTACAATCATTAAAAGAAATGTTCACACATATATGTATCTCATACAGAGTTGGACAAGGATGGTATATATAAATATTTGTATGATTATAAACTTAATTTATTTTATGTAAGCAATTGAGAAACAGATAATGAGCCTATATTAATCACTGATAGGAAGTTGGCGATGGGTCTTACTGTGGGAGGAAACTGGAGTACCCAGGGAAAACCCACATGGTCAGGTATTGGTGATACCCATATGTATACGTTTTCACATCTGTTCTTAAAATTGAACTCATGAGATTAAGGTGAAAGCAAGGGTGTTACCACTGTGTGACTCAATAAGGAGGGTACTATGCAGGTATACATAGTACCTTATGCAAGTTGCTTATAGTTGCATGAAAGAGGACAGAAAGTGATACAGTAATCTACTGGCTGCAAGAAGATGTGTGTTTTTAAAGGTATTTCTATGGAAATGTTTTTCATACATCTGAGATAGTTATACAGTATGCTAAGTAGTTGTTATTCATGAAATGTCCCTGTCCCCTCCCTGACCTGGTAAAGAAATAATTTAGAACTTGTGTACTATTGTATATAAATAATGTTGGATTCATAAAATACACTGATTTAGAATTGATTCAATCTATAACTCATAAAAAAGGCATCCTGCATCAACTGGTCATTGGATTCAATTAGAAATACTGTGGTTTTCGGTTTCAAACGTACGTCTGAGGAGAGCTGTTCCAGCTAGCCTATTGATCGAGATGTTCTGCACAAACAGTGTTTGTGCAATTTGCGGGTTTGGTAGCAGTGGTAGGAAGAGCTAATGCTGAATTGTTTGTGGCATGTCCTTTATAGAGCTACTTCTCTGTGAGAAACATGCATCTGATAACCAGTGTGTTGTATATATAAGGTGTATTATACAAATATAGTTAATCAATAGCTTGTGTAGACGAAGCAGGGGCAACAACTCCATGTAAATTACTAATATATGCTGATGTCTGTACTTTCTTCTCTATTGGGAAAAAAAATCACACAGGATCATTTTAAGTTCCAGCTAAAAAAATATAGTAGAACACAAAAATATCATGTACAGGACATCATAAATGGTTTTCAGATTGAATTTAAAATTTAATGTCACGGTCAACCCATTTATTTAAATTACTATCATGAGGGATTTTCATTGTTGTAATGATTTTCCTTTTGGCTTCATATATTCATTTTATGTTTACTTTTCTAAGAACTTCGATGTTGAGATTCTACCTTTATTTACAACTAAAACATGAATGATGCCGTGCATGTAAAGTCAGATCTATGTTAATAGAAGTTGCTGCCATTGACTGATAGAGCACTTGTTTGGAAAATTTCAGGTAGAAACTGAATTCTAATAAGTTAAGAGAAAAAGAAGATGTGTGGAGGGTTTTTGAATTTAGAGAAGCTTTAAATAAAACCTGATTGAGATATTCTACAATTATTGACCAAATGAGACAAAGGGTAATGTTGCCTCTGAGGGTTAGTAAATCTTGGTATTCACCTGAAAACAAGTCAGTAATAGTTTAATTATATGACAATAATTCATACTTCTGTATTGATAAAATATCGTAGTACAGAATTTAAAATGATTGTTCTGTTTACCTGTGAAATGCATGATCGGGTATCGAACAGTTATAGTAAACCTCATGTGCACAGATTCTGCCTGTTTCAGCATCACAATATCTTTAGACCTATACATGAAGGGTCTTTTGACCAATCATTGTGTAATAAAAATGACAATCACATAATAATTCACTATAACCATATTATCTGGTTATGATTATGACCATCAATGTAGTGGGGATTTCTGGAAATTGCTTAAGATAGCATTTGCAATTAGCTTAACATGGAAAACTAGCTGTGTAGATAGAGACACTGTGACAGACTCCACTGGGAATGGCTAGCAATAATGTTAGCCTCTACAGCACTGTACCATACACTCCGCCATTCTGGCCCACTCTCAAATGTCAGCATGTCCCATGGGAACATCTTCCTGGAAACATGCCCAGCCAGATTATTTATTGGGAAATGTTCCTACAAGATTAGAGAGATGCAGGGATTACCTTGTGTACATTTACAGCTATACGGTTGGTCTCCAGTACAAGCTGATAACTGGTTAACATGCTGTGTAAGATATTAAATGATGGTTTCAAAATTAATTATTGTGTGTATTAACATGTGCATGTGGTTATTGAGACAGTTTGAGTAGTGAACTAAACTGTACAAACCTTTTCAAATCACATTGGAACTGTATTTGAAGAATGAAAAAAAATGTTCTCAAAATTGTTTACTCAGTAAGGCTCATGAAGTCCAAAAAAAAGTTGTGAAGGAAAGACCAAAAACCTTGTACACAGTAAAACATTTTTCTGTGAAATTGATGTGAAATCAAACACCATATGTATGGACTACAAATGGATTTTCTGTAATTTTGCTACAAATATGGAATATAATTAGAATTAACAAATTGAATTAGAAATTATCATATATGAACATTTTCCGTTTATCATTGATTTTTTAGACTCGGGTGTAGAATCTTATCACTGATAGACAGAGCAGTTTAAAAATCTATTGCAGAGGAAATATACATCAAATTACAGGAAAAATTGATAAAATTTTTGACAGCTACAGTGGCGTTTATCACTGTCCATCATGGCATGTCCCCATCATAGATTCAATATCTATTCCAACAGCTCGCATGATGATAGCCATCAAAATTTTGTGATCACCCTTGTCATGCCCCAAATGCCTTGTAAAATCTTAAGAAAACGACGAATCCCATTGTAACAATGCTTATTCTTTGTATCATATCTAGCCTGCTAAAATCTGATGAGATATGCAATGCAAACATTGATGACTGAAAGAATTTTTAAAGTTGCATGGGACAAAAGAAGTGATCTTGGGAGGTTTGGGGCAGGCTTTAGCTCCATATATTTTTGTAGAGCCTAAGAAACGGCCTCGTTTGAAGTGAGCTTCTCCATAATGCTATATACTGCAACACTGATCAAACGTACAGTCTATTTGTTTCACAGTCATTCGCCACACTTGTCTTCACACTAAATTGATTCTGTTCAAAAAGGTGCCTTCGGTGAATCTTTTGACTGGGTTTAAATGCTAGAAAATTAAATTCTGTGTGGCACAGAAGATGGGTTATTCTTTAATATTGAAAAGACTTGAAAGCTATCGATTCTAGTGATTATGTATAATTATAAAAATTACTTGTCAACTTTGATCACACATTTATAAAGCACTGGGTTGGCTTTGAGAAAGGAGAAATGTTAAGGGGTGTTAATTTTGACCAAACCTGAAACTTTGTCTCGGTCATATGTACATAGATTTATTGTTATTAAGACGATCATTTAAACAAATGTAGAAAATGCATTCACAGATTAATGGTATGATAATAAGTGCTGATTTATTATACGTTATGATTATGAAAGAGTTGGAGGCTCTTTATGTACTTAATTGGTGGGAAATTCTCAGCTGTTAATCAAAATGAAATGATGAGAACTTCATCCTATAGGAGTAAAAATGGTAGAATTATAAAGAAATTTGAATAGAAAATGTCTAAATGTGTCTGAATATTTAAAGATGGTCCACCAATCATTTCTCTTCACCTGATATTTCTTTGGGTGAGATACAGTACTGGTGTTACAATAGGAAAGTAATGTGTAAATGATACATGTAAACTATAAGCTATTTCTCTGATGTTACATGTTTGCTTTAGTAATTCATGTACTACAGCTTTGAACTTGTTTACGTTTACCTAGGAAATTATGTAAATGTAATTATGTGTACATCATGAAGCAGTCGTGTATCAGCATGCATGGATGCACGCCATTAAGCTTTAAATTGATTAGGAAAAGTAATGGTAATGCCTGTAAATTCGTACAAAATATGCTAAATGATGTTGTCCTTTAATTATTGTAATAGTGGTTACGTGTACTATATACGTTTCCAGACACAAACATTTGGTAAGGTATAAAATGGTTGATATAATGCTGGGACAATACAGGTATACATATGTTATAAATATCAATCATGTTTTACATGTATTTGATCCATTAAAGAATGAGAGATCAATGTAATTTGGACATTGTAACACAACTGACTGTGTTGTGCCCTGTGTGGACCACCTTCGACAACCTCAAACTCTAGATCAATGATACCAAATTGATTAGCAAAGAAATTCTGCCTTACAATATACACTATAAGGACCTTCCTTGCACTGATACACAGCTAGAAATTCTCAACTTTATCTTAATGGTGAATTATTTCATTTCACGATATAAATGCCGTGATCGTAATATATATACATGGATATGAATTTCTACAAAGAACACACATCAACTGAAAATTCAAAGTTTGATATATGTTTAAAGGTACACATGTTTATGTACACCCCAAAGTTAATATGTTGACAGGTAGACCATTAGAATAGTACCGATTCCTGTTGCTTTCATTGCATAATTGACACAGGCATCTTAGTTTGGAATCTTCTTTATAAATTACTTTTTTTCATAATGTTTTCATTGACACTGCCTCAATTTTGGCCTTCAACAAAGTGCTCATTTCAGTGAGGAAGGTTCTGTCCCCTGGCTGAGACATACAAAGTCTTCAAAATTGGTAGTTCAACATTCAGCATACATTGCCTGTATGCTTCAGTGTGATAACACTATCAAGTTGGCTTCAGTTCTGCACCATTGAAAGCAGGCTGACACAACATATGCAGTCTCCCAAATACACATGCATGAGAACAAGAAACATGCACTTTACTTCGCATACTTTGGGCCCTTAAACGAGCATAGCTGTTGATAGGATGTTACACAATATGTCCAATATCCTCAAATTATCATCTTTCATGTACAGCTGTTACTCTATAACATTTCCAAATAAATTGATCCAATTTCTTTGCTGTAATTGAAAATCCTGAATAGAATTAATCTGTAAATTCCACTTGACTTTGCTTTTAATCCACAGAGCTAAAGTACGGAATGGATTAAAGATTACAGGCGCTATTGCAGAGGCTGACGGACCCTGGCAAATCCATGTGGACATAAATGAAAGACAACGTGTTGGCACAGTCACGGCTCGTATTCATGACATCACGAAATACATGGCTTCCACAAAGTAAGTACTTCAACTATATAAGATCTGTGTATATTTGATAGTAAAGTTATAATGTTTTCTTCATATTTTGTAGTTTTTACTGGCAGAATCGAGTGATTTTATTAATTTTTCTGTGAGGGAAGATTTTACAAATTATTTGGTCTATGAAGGAAAATCTGTTTGTGTTTATGTCTTGTTGTTGTTGTCATATTTAGCTTTCTAGGTAGGACATCTTGTTTACCATTTATGTCGACCACCAGAGGAGAAAATGGTTATCTATTTCATTAGAATCAGTAGCCATGAAATCTAGCCATTAAGGAAGAGAACTTTCTGTGTATCTGACTTGAGGAACAATAAGATTTTGCTTATATTTGCATTTTTTTTTTTCATAAGGAGATTGAACTAAATTGTGTGTAAACAGTGTTAACGTGATAAAGCAAAAAAATGTTTGACCTCATTAAATATTCAGGAATGTGACATTGTACTTAACTTAAATATTTGTAAACTGTTAGGATGAAATAGACACCATGTTGACTCAAGTAATATTTTTTAAAGACAAAGTGTTTTACACATATTGAAAGGAACCTGGACAAATTTTGATTTATTAAAAATTGTATCTTCTTATTAAGATTGGAAATGAAACAATTAGAAATTGATATTTTTTCATCATGTCTTTAAAAATAGTTATCTAGTAAAGATGTAAAAATGATTTTCAGGAATACTTAAATTCCTAAATAAAAAAGATCCTTAAGATATCAGGTATGAGGATTTTATTACCCTTATGGCATCACTGCTTTAAAGTTTATTTAAAATTCTTTTGACCATGTTTTACAAAAAGACTTTGATATGGTTTTAATAGCCTTGATGTGCATGTGTGTAATATATCAGAGATGTTGTCTGATATTTACATAATAACTTGTATGTGCAGGCTTTATGTAGACGATGATCTTGACAGGTGTTCTTGTGTATAAAAGAACATGGTTTAAGATATATGTAGCGTTTGCTCATTGTAAACAATGCAGAATGTTCCTTCAACTTCAATCTGTTTTTTGTATAAGTAAAAAAGGTAGGCGATGAATTAATATTTTGATATCATTACTACCAGCTTTCCTGGTTGTAATAAACTGCTAATTGTCTGTACATGTGGCTCAAAGAGAACTTATCAAGGGTTGGTGTGTGGGTGTCTTACCTAACACAACACCAAAACAATCTTCTGCTAAAATTTCTTGGTGCCAGCCGTAACATCAAGCAATTGGTTCTAACAGCCTCACAACAGCTGGGGGAGAGGCTCTCGTGTTTTCATTAACTTACAACCCCTTTGTTAAAGGAAATATTTTATCTGAAATGTTTCAATAATCAGTAATTTCTTTTGGGAGTAATTCTTGCATGTATTGGGGTCAATGAGTACATATTGTTGGATATTTAATGTTTCAACTCAGTATGAAATGTTTAAACTGAATCTAAAGCAGATGAAATAAAGAAAGTCTTCTGAGAGATAATTTGATTTTGCTAATGATTTAACAAGGGTTGTTTCGTTCCTAGGTAGAATTAATTCAATGAACATTTCATTCGTAAAAGGATGGCTTTATATCATGAATGTGAATTATCCAAAACAAAATCTAGTGTGAGATTCAGGTTAATTATCCAAACGTCTTCCTCTCGAGATTGTATAATTTGGTTTTCACTCTTTTTCTATCACACAGAATCATTAAATGGTAACTATTTCCAGTTTCTGGATGTATTAGTTACGGTTTCTGCTTTAACTTTCAATCTGAGACTAATTACGTATCAATTATAAAAAACATTCAATAGAAAAAGGGTTTGTTTTACCAAGCAAGAAATTTCCTAACGTTGAAATAAATACATTTTGTGTTTATTTAAATCGTGTTCATTTGTTTGAATATTTTATTTGTTGATTCATTTATTCAGTTTAGAATTTTTTTATGAATAGTAGTTATTGCGATTAGGAACCCTTCAGAAATGAAAGCAGTTTTAGGGATAACAAACAGACATTATGGTAGCAAATATTGAAATACTTGTTGTTGCTGTTTAATGGAGGATTTAAGCAGATCTTCCAGCCTAAACCAAGTATTAAGCCTAATAGTCAAGTGATGAATATTTGATTAAGCTTTGCTTGTAGCTCAGTTTAGCATTTATTGTCTCAACCTTACCATCTGACTGTATTAAGGTGTTCTTTCATAGTGAGAATATTTGTGGTCATATATAAAAATTTTATTTTTCTTCTTTCAAGCAAACAAATTTCATCTGTTATACCATGTTATTTAGCCCCCCTGCCCCCCTACCCCCTTTATGAGGTATAAAGGTAAATCAATAATTTAACTCCTGACTTGTGATAATGATTAGTTTGTGATTTTTCTACGTTGCAGAACATCAAGGCATCAATTACAGGTTTTTCCTTGTGGAAAAAGTTTGCTGTGTTGTGTTTTGATCACATTTCTTTCCAGCAGACATCCTCAATTGGGACTTGGTCAGTTCTTGGAGCTTCCTAGTAAATAACAATGATTGGAGACACAGAAAGTGTTTACTCAGTCGCTGTAATACTTTATGCATGAGCAAATAGCGTACTTCAGAAGTACTCTGTTTTCCCATGTCTTTGTTAATCAGACTAGACAGTGTGTGCAAAGTGGTCATGCATTATGCAAGCCTTCGCAAACGTCATCAGTCAGAGTCCTACTGTAGAAAAGATGAAAAAAATATTCAGACCTTTGTAGCAAGGCCTTGGCCAGCTTTATGTGATATATACCACAACTGAACGACACGAGGAAATGCATCATAGTTTTAATGATAGGGACCCAGCTCATTTGGTTGATCTCTATCCTGACCTTAGCATTTCTGAGTTATCCAAGCTTTTGTATTTTTTTAATAATTGAAACATTACCTAACTGTGTTTCCATATCACATTTAGTATTCAATGAAAAAAAAAACAAACAAACAAAGCTGGAGTTTTAGAATAATTGTCATTTAATCAGAATGCTAGTGGAAGTTGTCTGTTAACAGTGCTAGTGGCATGAGCAATAAAGACTCTGTTATTCCATCATAACAGCAAATATGGGCCTGTTATGAGTGCTGTTGTGTTGTATTGGCACAGAATAGGTCGGTATCATTTGTTGATTGACTTCACAAATGTCCTTGCAGATTAGTAGCTGGATGGTTCAATCATAAAAGCTACATAACGACCACTGAAACCTATATAACAGTGGGAATGGTATGGTTTTTAATGTTGATGCGATCTGATTCTGTTTTGACATGGGTCATATACAAGATGTGTGGGTGGTCTTACTTGCCTTTGTCTTTGAATGTCACAAGCTAAACCTTATTGCCTTGAGGACTAGAAGCTCTAAGTAAAATGTTAGATGTGTAAAGTAGAAAAGGGTAAGGCTTGTGAAAAATTCAAATTAAAAAAGAGAGAGAGAGAAAAAGAAATTGTCTTGATTTTAACAGTAAACGGCTTGAAATCTCAACAAAGGCAAAATTGTGGACACACCTTGACTAATGTCTGGAAACGTTGACATGCCATTGATCACTATCAATATCTGGAAACATCGAGGTATCCTTTCAAATCACTATCTGCAAAATCTACTGTAGGTCAATGTATGGGAAATTTGCATACTCCTAAATCAGGACACGCATAGGTATATATCAATTAATGCATGGAAAATTTGAACACACCTGAATACTCAATCTAACCACACTAAAATACATGTCTGGAAAATCTGCACTTGCCTTAATGTCTGGAAAAAAGTGCACATGCCTGAATCAATGTCTGGAAAATCTACACACTCCTAAATTATCATTACTACACCACTGAGTTATTCTGGTATAAAATCAATTCATTTGCATTGATATTTAGCAGGTGAAAAGGAAAAGCTGAAATGTTACCAGAATTCTTATTCTTGCTGGACAATGTTATGATAGAAAATAGATTTCAGGCCTGTATAGTTTTCATGTGCTCTTCTTTATCATTGGACATACAAAAATGTTTTTTAAGTCTTAAAGATAGAAATGGACAAAAGAAAGTTATAAAGTAGTCACAAATATATATGAAAAAAGAAATATTTCTTTATATATGAGGAAATGATTTTTTATGGTGAATTTAGTAGAAAAAAATGAGAGTTATGATTAAGACTGAAATCACTACAGCCCATCCTTGCTCCTCTTGTTAGGCTGACAGACAGGGAATTGATCTATTTGAAAATATTGTCTAGAAATGAATGTCGTACACGTGCTCTAATACACTAAGTATGGTTAACGGTTATTCTATTAGAAAAATAAAAACAAAATTCATTTTAAGCAGCCATGCAAATATAACCACTAGTAATTACTTCTGTTGCTAGAAAACTGTATATTTAGATAATAATTATGGTGTTGGCAAGCTGATGGTGTTTCTACTTCTACCTAGACAAAAATATCCATAGAAATATACTGCCTGTAGAGTTTATGAGGTGCTATAAAGATTTGTGGGGAGATGTAGTTTTTATTTATAAACCTGTATGGAACTAGATTTTTCATGACTTTTTTTTTACCTGAAAGCAACAGGTAAGCTTAAAAGTTCCTAATGGTGGTAAATCCCCACAAAAATGAAAATCGTATTAGATAATAAAAACACAACACATGAAAGAAAGCTAGGACTTGTATCAGGTAAAATGTTGTGTCAAGAAGTGACTGTTAGAAGACAGAAAATTATACTTGTTACCTGATTGTTTTAATCACAGATCTGTTGTGTCCTCAAAATAACATAATCTACACATGAAATCAGAAAAATAAATGATGAATTGGAAAGACTATAGGAAATTATAAAAAACTTCGAAAATGGAAACCTAGATTAAATATTTTGTTTCCCATCTTTCTCCTTTATCTTATACAACATTTCTCCCTTATTTCATCAATTCTTCATTTTTCTGTCATTCCTCAAACTTTCACCCATGTGAAGATTTCTGCTGATTACATATTGAAATGTATTGTTCATCAGATTTTTCCTTTTCCCTCATGCTAAATAATTA